ACACAAGTTCAAACAAATAGGAGGGAAAGATGGGTGAGTGGGTGGAGCGCAGAGGATTTTTAGGGCAGTGAAAATAATCTGTATGACACAATAATGGCGGATATACGTCATTATACATTTGTGCAAGCTGAGAGGATGTACACCGCCCAGAGCGAGCCTTAATGAAAACTAGGGACTTCAGATGAAAATGATGTGTCAGTGTCGGGTCATCAATTCTAACAAAGGTTCAGCTTTAGTGGGGGATGCTGAGAGTACGGGAGTCTGTGCTGTGTGGGAAGTCTCTGTACCTTCCCCTTAATTTTTCTGTGAACCTAAAATTGCTCCAAAAAGTAAAAAATCTATTTTTAAAAAATGTCAAGCAATTTCTCTTCTTTAAGGGATAAAAATGATTCATGGAGTTTAGTGATATTTCAAATAATGTTCTTTCCCTGAAATTCAAGGCGTGATCATGAATGAAGGAAGCTGGAGGCTACACATCTGTCTAAGGGGAAAAAGCTTGGCTTCAATTAACTGATACACCAGGAACTGCTGTTTCATATTTGTAGATCTTATACATGAGTTATCAGTGAAACTTCTATAATTTAATATTTGCAAACAAGTGCGGTCATAGAGGTAGATTACAATTTAAAAGAACTGCAGAGAATGAAAAGCAACAGTACTTATAGAAAGCTTATGAATGTCTGACATATGAAAAAGTACATTAATTATAATTAGATGCTTAATTTTCAGTCTCTCTTGGCCCTTAATTTTAGCACTTAACTAAATTCCCCCATACCCATTTGTTGTATTTTAGTGAATATTTAAAGTGAATTAGAAACCTGAAATAGTATAGGAATCGCTGGCCAAAAAAAAAACTGAATAAGTCCTGTAAGCACTTCATTTTTTGATGATAGAAACAAACTGAGAGAAACCAATCCTAGTGATTCTTTATGAAGACATAAGTAAAAAGCTTTTGTTGAAACTGGGGTATTTGACTTTGACAATGGGACGTGTCCTAAGTTAATCAAATGATGGCTTGCAAAGGTTACATCTTAAGTTAAAAAAGAAAGCCAAGGAGAGACTGTGCAGACATGCAGTAAAGTCACCTCTATGTACTTACTACTTTTCAAGAGTAAACTAGTATTAATATATGAATTGTTTGGGCAATCTAGTAAGTCTCTAAATAATGAAGCTGGTTTTCAGGGGGAAAAATTATTTCATTATTTTTCAATAAAATGTATTTTTTAAATCCCCTTCACTTTGTTTGGTACCCATTTAATTAATTACTTACCTTTCAACTGAAGGTACATTTAGAAGATTATCTGCATTTTCCAAAAAAGGGAAATCAGAATTCCCAGTAAATTATGGTGTTCAAAAGCTATTCAAAGTGTTCTCTAAAATCCCAGGTAAATGAGTTTGCTTTTGCACTGTTACTGTTTGTATGTATGTAGGAGGGGAATTCTGCATATGAACTGTACTGGGTTGCATTTACAGACATAACTATACAGATGCCAATGTAGATCGGTGAACACATTCTGCCCAATGACAAACACTGCAACTGCATGAGAGCCATCCCATCAAAACACCCACTTTATCTAAAGAGTACAAATAATAAAAAGAATTGTGTTAAAATACTGCCCGTCTCTGTCCAGTAAATGTGTTTAGCTTTGACTTCCGTCGTTCTATTTTTTGCACACTAGAGAATACCGCTCACTGATGCTTCTACAAACTTGAGAGGAACAGAAAATTTCTTGTTTTTATGAAGTGAAGTAACTACTAAGAGAGTTTGAATCTCATCGTATGCACCCCCCGCCCCATATAATTTCTCTGCACTTAATTAGCTCTGTGTAAGTAGAATAACTCAGTGGAGAATACTATGACATGATATCTTAAATTACTGCACACACATGAAATGTGGTTGCACTGGGCTGAATAGCCCCAAAAAATTCATGTCCCTCCAGAGCCAGAGAATGTGACCTGATGCAGGAATTGTTCTTTGCAGATGTCATCAAGTTAAACTGAGATCCTACTGCATTATCATGGATGTGCCCGAATTGAATGATCGGTGTCCTTACAAGTAAAGGGACATCTGGAGAGACACACAGAGAGGTCATTTGAACGTGAAGGGCAGGGACAGTTACAAGCCACCAGCCATGAGATGCTAAGGCCAGCAGGCCACCACCAGAAGCTAGGACAGACTCATGACAGCGTTTGTCCCTCAGCCCTCAGAGGGAGCAGCGCCTTGCTGACACCTTCATTTTGACTTCTAGCCTCCAAAACTAGGACAGAATAAACTTCAGTTGTTTTAAGCCACCCAGTTTGTGGTAATTTATTACAGCAGCTTAGGAAATGAATACAGTGATTATTCTCATGATTTCAAAATTAAATGTATAAATGTTAACTCCATACAAAGCAAAGTTAAGAAACTAAAACTGCCCATTTCTTTTCCACCAAATGAAAATAAGAGAAAATATTTCTAAAAGTACCACACAAGCTTTAAGAAAACATAACTTTCAATTCAACCAATGTTTTATATATTAAGTGCCTATTCCTTGCAGGCCCTGTGAAAAAAATAGAAAATATTCAGCATCTACTCTTAAAGCAACTATTAAGTATGAATAAAATATTGAGTACGATGATAATTCTCAGGTACTTCATCAAAATAATAGTCTAAATTTAAACAGAAAGACATTTAAGTGTGGGAAGAAAGTAACTATATTTGTGAAAATGTAAACAAATTATTAAACCCTAGAAACAGGTCAACAGGCTTTTGCAGAGAGTAGCTGTTCAATACATGTTTAATAAATTAGTAAATTTTCAGTAAAAAATATATTAGGGTTATTAATGTTTACACCTTCTGAGGCTTAGTATTCATAGTTCTAAATAATAAGTCTGCATACAAACTGTCAGTTAAGGATGAGGGTAGAACAAAGACATCACTCGAAGTGAGAAGAAATGCTGCAGGCCACCATCACTAAGATGGCTTCTCACCTTTCCTCGCCTTTGTCACCTGAGGTCAGAATGCCAAAGCAAGACAGACCAAGACTGTAAGCATCTGGCTCATTTTGACCACATACTAAACAACTCCTGGTCCCTGCTCTTGGTCCAGCTGCCTGGAGCAGATGAGAACGCTCAATTCCCTGCACAGAAATGTGCCTGGGGCTGTTTCTGGAACTGGCGTAAGGCCATAAACGCTGAAAATATAAACCAACCGACTCCTGTCCATCTTTCTAAGGGATGTCCAGTACCTGCAGTCCATGCTACAGCTTGGGCAGATGACCTGACTGTGATCCCTGTTATTCTTAAGAGCTCTTAGCTCATGACTTCACCTACCCAGTTCTCTTGCGGACTCTAAAGAGAAGTGAAGCCAGCTGCTGACCCCAGACACCGTACAGCCATCTTCCCCTCAGAAGAGCAGGAAAACGGCCTCTCCTAAAATAATTAGGATTGTGCTTGCGTCTTATTTTGTCAGAAGCAATTAAATTTAGGAAAACATACACAGGTGGTAACACTACAAAGAGAAGCAAGGAAATGATTATCGCAAAAGTTATGGTACCAGTGACCCTGGCAGACCCAGGGGACAGGATCAGGGACCAGCGAAGTGGAAGGGTTCTAAGAGACGGGCAACTTCCCACGTCTAGACTGAAGGGAGGGTATTTGTCTTTTCACTCTAGTACTCTTTAAAACCCTTACATGTGTATGATATATTTCTAAACAAAAATTATTTTTCTCAAGGGTGAGGGACATAATCATATTTGTACACTGAAAATATTATTAAGGCCACCAGAAAGACTGTGATGGGGGTGGAGAGGATGAAGAGGCAGTGTAGGCAGACAGGTTACAAAAGAGCAAATGCTGTTTTTCTTTATTATTATTGTTTTTTTGCAGGGGGAAGATAGTATGAGAAGAGGGAGGGAGGAAAGAAGGAGGAGGGAAGATGAGAGGAGTGAGAAGTATTTGGTCAGTTAGCAAAACCAAACAAAATGCCCAAGATAAAGTTCCTTGTCAGTGATCCCTGTTGCTAACATGGTATTTATACTGTTCCCCAACTACAGTAAGTTCAAAATACTGTAAAAGCCATCACTCCATTCATCTTCAGAACGTAATTATATAACTAGTTTCAAAAGAGGTCTTTCTAAGCCCAGCGTCACCAGCCAGGAAAGTGCCCCACACAGGAAGGTTCCGGATTTGCCATGACAGGTTAAAATGCCGAGCGAGGGCTTCTGCATAAATAAACTTCAGGACGCCAATGCCCCCAGCCCAAGCCTTAAGCTCACACTGCACGTGGTACCTAAACACCCGCTTTAATTTCACCTCCCATATGAAACTTTCCAGCCCTCTCGGGACTGGAAAGTGTATGTCAATCATCTACAATCACATTTAGCGCTCCAGCAAATGAACTGGGTGGTGCAGCTCTCCCACACATTCGGGTTCCAAAGAACTGGTTTTATGATTTCCTTTGGCCCAAATGGATCATTCCTGTCCAGAACTTAACATGCTACTTCATGTAAGTTTTAAGCATAATTTTTAAAGTGTTAAGAACCTGGCAATCCATTTCGGTGGCGGTATGTTTCTTCTATACTCTATTATGAGCAGCCAGAAGAAGGCCTAATATCCAATAGATACTCATACAAGTTTCTTGAGCCATCAAGGAAACTGAACCATCAGGAAAAAGCATCATGTTCTATTATTTTTACCAAACAAGTATCAAAAATAGACTTTGCATATTTTCTTTTGTTTCTTCCGTTCGGAGTAAGGAAGTGAAAATGAGATTTCTACAATAATCCATTATGGAGAAAAACAGTAAACCTAAAAACGTTTCATCTGTCTCCTGTAATATGAGTCTCTGTGAAGATTACAAAACATGACAAAATGGAACAGATAACATTTTCAACATTTGAAATGGAAACTGGCCAAGGAGGTAGCTTTTTCAAAGATTGGGAAAAGATTTGATGTAGGAAACTTTTTACACAGTATATTCTTGACAAGAGTAGACAAACTGCTATCAATACACTTCTTACCTTAAATACTTCCATTGGAAGAGGAAACTTTGCAGCGTCAATAAGGGATCTTTCCAGAGCACATTTCCACTCAGAGGCCATCTTCAAAGGATAGATTTCTGTATCAACAGCAAACCACATAAGAGTTTAAGGACTAAAATGTTCTACTGGGTGGTTCTTTCTTGAGTTTTATCTTCCTGGGACTTTATAATAAGCCAGCACGCTCAGCAACCGTAAGAACTCACACCCTGCCTGCCATAAAAGACCACCTGCTAAAGGGATTTTTCTGAAGTTAAATAGCAACTTGGGATTCTGCTTTCAGAAATGAAGAATAAACTTAATAGGGCTCTTCTTCAGGGAACATTTGCAGGCATTCTGTTGGCATTCTGTAGGTAATTTAACAGTATAAATCACATTAGCAACATCTTCAGTCATCCACTGCCCCAAATTCTATATATTACCTGGGAAGTAATATCCACTGATGAAGAACTTACTATCTGATAAATTGCTAAACTAGAAACAGCTCTTCTCTGGCATTTTCAGTTATTACAGCATTATTTTTCACTAAATCTCTAGGCTCACATATGCTAAAAATAGTCCATGTAAGTCAGATAGTTATTAAAAGGTAAATTAAAATTTGCCAACCAAGTTTATTATTTACACTTGAAATGTTGCTAACACACCACGTGTAGCCCATACTTTTCCCGCGGTGGTGGGGGGAGAGGGATTTACGAGTGGAGGTTACACGGTCCGAATACACAATTAAAAGAAAAAAATTGGTTGAGCACGGTGTGTTGTACACCGATTGCTGACACTGCAGGGGAATTTTACTATCTGATCTCAACAGATTTAAGACCTTATCAAAACAGGATTTGCAGAAGCACTCACTCTGAAGTAGATATGTTTATACCGTCCTTATATCAACCCCAGATCCCTCAGACAGACAGTTTGGGTATGAATATGAATCTAAGTACAGTCGAAAGGCAACTTGAAACCTCTGGGGCTATATTTTTAATTTCTTGCATGTCTGCTCTTTAGCATGGAGCCATATATTACGATCCTCAGCGCTTCTTGAACTTGAAGCCCCTGTGTTTTAGCAGTTTATTTACTTAGTAGTCTTTGCAGACTACTATAATTATGGCAGCCGAAAGATGCTGCCACAACTAGCCAAGTCACCAATGCTTTGCCTCCTCCACTCACTGTCAGTTACATAAAGACACAGGAAGAGTCATTAATGACTAAATAGGCTCCCCGTGTGTATATTGCCTAGAATCCTTTCCAGCATTTCATTTACACTCTTCTACCTCTGGGAATGTTTTTTCCAATCTGGTATTTCTATGTTAGACCAAGAATAGAATGTGATTCTTCTTAGTAGTGACTACCATATTTGCGAGAACACAGTGGGGCCCCAATAAATACTCTCTATAGAGAATAAGTGAATGGTCCCTCCAACATCCCAGGTGGTGCTGAGAACAACCCAATGGGGTGCTGAGAAGAAGTTGCTTATCAAAGAAGGAAGAGGGACCAGGTCATGGAGCCCTACAAATTGTCCCATGAAGGGTAGAAGGGTCCGCTAGAATGTCCCAGTGGTTCAGCCCAGCATCAAAATCTCAGTGAAGGGGGAAGCAATTGTGAGGACTCCAGAGGGCAAAAGTCAGAGGACACCAAGTGCAGCTGTCTAAAAGGGGCCGGCGGTTAGGGACACGCAAGAGCCTGGCCCTCCTGAGGAGACAAGAACAAACTGGCTTTTCCAGGGATCTGGAAGTCTAATAGGAAGTTCCACCTTAGCATGGTAGCGAAAGGAGAACTGAGTCACAAGAAAGGGTGGCAATTTCCAAAAGCCAAGACCAAAGGGAGGATCTGAATACATAAACGTGAGAAAAGGGGAAGAAAAGGACCACTGTGTGGGCACCTTGAGGCCCTGCGGCCTGTCACTGAGGTCTCTGGGGATGGGAGGACAGACAGGGAAGAGGGTAAAAGAACAGTGGTTATCGCTCAAGAGTGCGAGCTCTGAGCAACAGTGGTTCGAGTCTTGGCCCGAGCTGAGCTGCCACTGAGCTGCCAACAGGTGGCAGGGGATGGCTCAAAAAAAAAAAAAAAAGAACAGTGGTTAAAGAAAACTACGCAAAGCAGGAACAATGAAAGCCCCAAATGACCAAGGTTAGTTCCAAACTATCAGAACTGAGGGAGGTGATGTGCAGACCCCAAGTCACCACAGAGAGTTGAGCCCTCATTCACCTGGTGCCATCTGTCACCCACGAAACCAGAGACAAATGTAACTAGAAGCCCAGTACAAAGAACTGAATGTTTGCATCACCCCCCAATACCTATGTTGAAACCCTAACCTCCAATGTGATGGTGTTAGGAGGTGAGGCTTTTGGTAGGTGATGAGATCATGAGGGTGGAGCCCCTACGAATGGGATTAGTGTCCTTATAAGAAAGACCCAGAGAGCTTCCTTGCCCCTTCGCTATATGACGACACAGTGAGAACACGGCCATCTATGAACCAGGAAATGAGGCCTCACCAGACAATGAATCTGCCGGTGCCTGACCCTGGGCTTCCAGGCTTCAGAACGGGGAGAAATAAATGTCTGTTCTTTATAAGTACCTCGTCTGTGGTATTCTGATCTAGCAACCAGACAGAATGGACCAAGACATCCAGGTGCCACGTGATTTTTGCCTGTATCCTACAATCTTATTCTTGATCTTCTTTCTGAGGATATTAAATCCTAACATGGAATTTAACCCCATGGCAAGGCACACTTCTTTTCTTAAAAGGTGAAAATCAAGTGCAGTTTTGTCGGGGATGCTCAACTTAACCTGCAAAAGCTAAACACCTAGTGGTTTGAGTAAGCAGAGAACAACATTCCATATGTGTGTCATTAGACAAGAGGCACTTGGTTATGCTGACAAGTTTGTGGACAATAAATAATCACCATTAAAAGAACATAAAACAGGGCCGGTCAAGTGGCTCAGTTGGTTAAGAGCTTGCTCAACAGTTTGAGCTCTGAGCAACAGCAGTTCGATTCCCGGCCCAAGCTGAGCAGCCGCTGAGCTGCCAAAAGGTAGCAGGATGGCTCAACTTAAAAAAAAAAAAGAACATAAAACATTTTCTAAAAATGATCGTGTTGCAAGTAATTTAACAGAGTGTATCGTATCAACTTCTATTTGTGGGGAAGTACTACGCAATTAAAATCTGTCCTGCTTCATCTTTAGAAGCCTCAGTGAGAATGAGGTGACTTCCTTTTGTGTAAGCATTTGGCTGGCTGATTCACGGTAAGCGCTACAGGAAGCAGGAGTGTACAAAATTGTCACCTCACAGCCTCAGAGCAAAGAAGTCCTCCAGGAGTGATCCTTTCTTTTCATGCACATCCAAACCTCTACCCCTTCCTTCCCCACCTGGTGCTGACCGGTGAGGAAAGACTAATCTATGTTTATCAACAGACATCAGAAAGTGTTATGGACTGAATGTTTGCATCCTCTCAAAACTGATGTGTTGAAGCCGTACCCCTAATATGATGGTATTTGGAGGTGGGCCTTTAGGAGGTAACTTGATTAAATGAGGTCACAAGGGTGGGGCCTAATGATGGGACTGGTGCCTTTAACAGAAGAGACCAGAAACAGGACTCTCTCTCTCTCTTTTGCACCCCCCCCGACCCGCCCCTGTACACACAAAGAAGCCATGTGAGGCCACAGAAGGTGGCAGCCTACAAGCTAGGAAGAGAGCACTCACCAGAACCCAACTGTGCTGTCACCCTAATCTTTGCCTTCCATCCTCCAGAGCTGAGAGAAAATAATTCATGTTGTTTAAGCCACTCAGTCTATGGCATTTTGTTATGCCAGCCCAAGCTGACCAGTACAGAAAGCCAACAGCTCTTTCTGAACAAATAAACAGTTCAAACAGGAAGCATTTAAGTTAGATGCAGAAACTTCCTAACTTTGGGAGCTATCTAAAATAAGAAAGAAAAAGAAAAAAAAAAGTTGACAAAGATTTAAATATATACTGTGGGTGCCAAAAAAGTGCATACAAGTGGGCACTTTGGTCAGTGTTGCTCAAGCAGTAGTTCGCCGTAATCAGAAGTGTCTGGACGCTGATGGGAACCACTTTGAGCACCTTTGTAATTGCAGAAGTCAAACGTGACTTATATTCATGTTTTGTTATCAGTATATATTGAGTATTACAATTAATATAGTTAGTTTTTTTCCTTCCTTAAAATGTGTATACAGTTTTTTGGCACCCGCTGTATATATTTGTGTGTGTGTGTGTGTGTATCTATATACATATATATGGAAAAATAAATTTCAGAAATAGAAATGAAAAAAAATCTCAAAAAGTTTCATCTCCTTAGCTTCTGAAAGAATATACATTAATACCTTGGTTTGCGAGCATAATTCATTCCAGAAACAAACTACTCGTATTGCAAAACATCGCTCATTTACCAAGTTAAAATGTATTAGAAATGTTTGCTCGTCTTGCGGAACACTCGCAAACCACGTTACTCGCAATCCAAGGTTTCACTGTATAAGACTATCTTGCTTCCTAAATATCCATACATATGAAAGCAGGTAGGGCCTCTAAATGACCCTTGACCTCAATGACTTAAGTTTTTTAGAAAACTAAACATAACCATAACCCTCTAACTGCAGATTGAATACTTAGAAAATGCCAATCATTTGCAGTGCCTTATAACACTCAGGAGCACAGTAAACAGAATTATCTCCATTTCACAGATAAAGAAACTGAGGTTCAAAGAAGTAGAGTCACCTGCCCAGGGGCCTGGTTAACTAGTGACAGAAGCAGAGGCAGCAGCTAACTTGGACCCTGACGCCAAGTCCATGTTCTTTCTCCTTTGCCATGTTTCTCAAGTTTGAGTCACACATGGACGCTTGTAAAAGAACAAAAACTTTTCAAGAGTTGCACAGACCATATTCCTGTGCATCCCACATGATCTGGGTGGGTGCTAAACAACAGATCCCATCAACGAAGAGCATTTCTACTTGCTCTGACCCTATTTTCAAAAGCTCCGCTAACACATCGGGGCAAAGAGGGCAGCACAGCCCTCACCATTTCAGTGTCTTCACTCTGGGCCTTCCCTCCAAACTGCCTTGTCAATTATTGAGCCCTTGGAAGGTGAATTTGTCTGGTTCCTTCCTTCTCCATAGACATACCCAACGTCGTCTTCGGTCAATTCCTATCAGTCAAATATTGACGGAGCACCTACAACGTGCCAGCAGTGAAGGAGGCACAGACTGACAGTCAGAGCGGGTAGTAAAAGCGACTCATAAAAGGTGTGAATGAAGTGATGGAGTGGGCCATGCCAACAGCATTCCAAAACAGGGGCCATGTTTAGTAAGCTCAAGGAACAGAGGAGGCCAATTCCCTGCAAATCAATGAGTGGAGCGTGTTGGGGATACACGATTGGACAGAGAGCTCTACAGCCTGCCTTCCATTCAACACTGAAGAAAAGGCCTCTCCTGGTAAAGCTTGAATCACTGCGGACCTTAGGAAGCTACCGGCCCCTTCTGTGATGACCTGCATTTTACCATGTTCTATTCCCTGACCCTTTCTTCACTGATGCTGGATTCAACCTACTCCATCGACACCTGCGTGACACCTTGACAGCCGTGTGTGTGAGTCAAATGGGGTGACTTCTTTCCCTCTCTCTATCCTCCCCGGCCCAGGTGATTTCCTCCAATTTGTGACAGGAAAAAAAAAAAAAGGCACAATGACTCTAGGTTTGTCACTGGTGGACGGTGTAAAATCCAGCACCGTTTCCTCGAGTTTTGAAGACTACCTTCCTAACTCTTTGCTACTGCCTATTTCTCTTACCTCTATTTGCACTGAACAGTGGAGAAATATTGGGCCCTTTAAAAAGTAAAAAGAATAAGTGAAACTAAAGGAAGGGCTGTGAATATTTTTATCAGTGGTGACGGTGTGGGTGGGGTGCACAGCAGAGAAGATACAGAAAGCAGGGAGAGCTCACAAGGGCTTATCTCCAAGTGTGCCTCCCCGCCCCCAAGCCCTTCCAACTGCTTCTCACCACCAGTAAATGCTCAACACTCTGTGTTTCTTTAAGGATACTGGGGAATTAAAAAAAAAAAAAGGAGCCTAATATTTTCTATGCAAGTCTGAAATTTTATTCCCACCTGTGTATCAGTTAAGGAAACAGCACCACCATCTACATTTTACAAGTCACTCTGGGACTTGAAATTAATTTACACAAACCCAGAGTACTGGGTTCTGATCCCACGTGTAAGACACGGGAAATAAATGCCTCCTGGGTGTTGTTCTGCGAACAAGGTAACTAACAGATTCCAGTTTTCATCTTGTAATTACCGCATGTCAACAGCTGAAAGTCACATTTGGAGTGTCCTGTAGCATTTTGTTTTCTTCTTCCTGTATGCAACCTTTCTTGCTACAATTTAAAGGTTCAGAAAATAGCTTCTTGATAAGTAATGCCTTTCCCAAAGTCTTTAAGGGACTGCCATGAACTCTTCAGTGACACAGACAACTCATGCCCAGAAAATTACTAAGTAAACGCAATTTATTCTTATCTTATACAGACATCAAATTATGTAAAAGAGAGAGAGCGCTCCTATGCAAATATTTCCTAAGTTTCTACCTTGACATTTTCCAATCTCACTTCTGAGTCCCCTGATTTCATGGGAAAGGAACAATTCAGAGAACCTATGAAGCCACGAGTCATCCTTTGCTTTGCTATAAATTGTTACACTGGCATGTACAGGTTTCTCCTGAAATTTATAAAGCAATTAGGTACTAAGCTGAGATTTATACACCCAACTTTCCACACAAAGTAAATTTCTCCTGCCACGTTATGAATCCCAGGGCAAACATGAGCTTAGATCTTTCCTCACGGTGCTGACAAGCCCTTTGTTTGTCATCAAAGTCCCCAATTATTCAGGGTATAAATGGATTTCTTGGCTGCTTCTCAAAACGTTGACAACAATAATACTCATAAAATACCATGTTACATGTCTATACCCCTGTCAAATTCAACACAAGTGAAAACACATGAGCCCCAGAACCAGGAAGCTTTTCAATTAAAGCCTGTGAGTGACAGAAAAAGGAAATATAACTTCTCAGCTTCATTTACTTAAGACTAACAATGGCAGCTAATATGGGAGGAAACACTTCTGGCAACTTTAATAAAGCAAAGAGCTAAATCTTTGCTTCCAAAAGACCGATGAAATTGACCAGAATGAAGATCAGGAATTTCTAGAAGAAATGAGGACTTCTTCCTTGGCGTCTGCAATGCTATAAGAATCCATCGTTTTTGTTCAGCGGCTACCCATCAAAAGCTTGGTAAGGTTGGTAAGGCCAGTAAAGGGGAATAGAAGAGAATGGGCAAGAGGCCTGGAACTTAATTGCAGTGCATCCCCTACACGCTGAGTGGCCTTGGACAAGTACCTTAACCCCAGTTTCAATGTTCTCTGCTGTAAAAGAAAGTACACCAAACATGCAGCACTTTTTTAGAATCAAAATAAACACAGCGGATGTAAAACCACCTCGCACATAGTAAACATTCAAGAGCAGTTACTTTGTAAACACTGAGATTACTGCCCAGTGAGGTATGTCAGAAAGCATAATGCACTATTTCTATCCAATTAAATCTAGGGAAAGTCACTCGACAGAACATTTGAAGCTAATTAAAATCTTTGATGTGCCAGGGAAAAAAAGCATGATGATTTTTTTTCTCTTCGCCTTTTCCAGGTCAAAACAGACTATATAGAATGAGAAGCATTTGGTTTGGATATTTGGATGGATGGATGGATGGATGGATGGATGGATGGATGGATGGATGGTTAGATAGATGGATGGATACATGGATGGATGGATATAGATGGATGGATGAACAGATATATAGAGAGAAGGATGGATGGATGGATGGATGCATGCATGCATGCATGAATGGATGGGCAGATGTGAGATTGTGGAACCTCCTTGTAAGACTATCAAAATCCCTAAAGAAAAGGGGAGAAAATGACCAATTCCCAATCTATTATGTCTTTCATTTTTGAACCAGTGATTCCACAGGAACTAAATCAACTTCTCCACAGCCTCCAACACAACTTTCTCCTTTTAGAGCACTATTAATTGAGGTGTTGGGTTTTATTCTCTATAGAAAGTATTCTAAAGTTAAAATGCTTAATATTCACATACTCGCATGTACAAGATACAACAGAGCTCATAAATTTTTCCAGAGACACATCCAGGAAAATATGATTACATCTTTTTCCAAAACAATTCACAGCAGCGAAAGCTTTGGCCCTTACCTGAAGGTGGGTCCATTCTGTATTTATTCTCTTGACACCAACCAACTGGTCGAAGTCTGTAATCCAAGTAAAACAACCACTGGTCATAGGATTCAGTGTCCTCCAATCCCACATAGCGAAGGCGTAATCTTCCTCCAACATTTTCAATCACACTAACTATCCAGTACTGAAAAGGGTTCTGAGAATCCTGAAGTTCTATTAAGGAATCAACTGTAATGAGGTCTATAGGGCCTTTCCCTCGCAGAGGCTGTTTAAACAGAAGCAAAACTCCTTATTTTAAACTTTATTTTAAGGTTCTCATGGAAACAGATGACAGCAGAAGATAATATTTTTTCACACCATCATCCAAGCTATTGGCAAACAGTCTGGTGTTTCCCCCCACCCCCCACTCTTCCATTTGCCCAACTCTGTATCCAACCACAAAAACCACAAGTCAATAGAAAAATAACAGTTTGTGCTAAGTTCTCACCAAACAAATCACCCTTCCCAGATAAAATTGTATTTCTTAAAAATGAGTGTGCTTTTAAGAAGAGTTATACCCAAATTTGCCTCGAGCTAGAAAAGATGTGGTAGCAAAATGTCTACTTTTGCAATAGACAGATATATCTAATGATATGGGGCTATAAGTTTCTACCAGACTCAACAGACATGTTATCTTACAATGGCCACTGCTGTAATAATCAAGACCCTCTTGTACTTTGATTATGTGCATAAAACATGGATATGTGTAGATGACATATCTAGTACACATTAATGATATCTACTAAATTAGACTATTATGTAAAGTTATTTGTACACTGAACCCAATAGTTGGTTTACAGCATATATGTAATTACTGCCCCATCTAAGCGACCTTCTTAGCATATGCTCACATATGAAAAGGGTGTTTGTTCAGCCAGCATTATAGGCAAATATGTTAAAAAAACAACAAACAAAATCCTAACAGAGGAAGACAATTTGTCCTTTTGAAAGGGTGACCAACCATCATTTTGATTTGTTAACCAAACAATTAAAGTAGTAGCCATTAAAATAAACAAATACACCAGGCAAAATCTTCACAAAAGCAAACCCAATAACCCAATATATTAGACAGCGGTGTTCTAAAGTATCAATATCTTTTATGAGACAAAAGAAACTTTGGTTCAGGTTAAGAGAATAAAGATATTGTCAAAATCCACACTGTATTCTTTGTTATTCATTGTGTTTCCCCCTCTGCGAGGGGCATTCTTCAAACAGATTTGGTAGCTCAATAATTATGACACAGTACATTTCTCTTCCTGTTCTATTATGTAGAGTAAGATTAAAATGCTTTATCCTAAAATTATTTTCAAATGAACCATCAAAATTTCAGATTAAACTTTTTTTTCAGTATCTTAAAATTACCTTAGTCATATTTAAATATGTTTAGCCATTTATTCTCTTGTTTTTATAAGAGAGGTTAATTCAATTGTTACTTAACAACATGTGTTTAAATCTTGGGGTTATGCATCCAGAATGCGATAGTTAACCATTTATCAGTATATTCCAAGACTATCCTAGAGCATAATTATATACACTTAGTTGTCAACTACACAAAACAGTTATTAGACAGGATTTGTTTTATATTCACTCATGTAGGATAGAGGTTTCAACGTACAGGACAGCGGGAAGATGTTCCAACATATTATTAGGTAAAAATGTGTTCACATGAGAGCAAATTTCCCATCTATTGATCGTACCACAGACAAAAATTCCCAAATGCCATTAGAATCAGTAACCTAAGCAGCTCAGGAAAAAACAGGAAGTTAGGCTCTCTGGACATAGATACCTGTGTGTACACAGGTACCTGCAGAAGGATATATGCAAAGGTGCCGTCAGGTTTCAGCTCATGTAACTGTGATGCTTCAGACATAGAATAGCTGTATAACAACAATACATACACCTTCCAGGAGGTTGGCGGGTGCTGTCCGGGAACCAGTCAAATCACGAATGAGAAATTCTGTCCAGTCTGTGTACTTTTCTTTGATGGCTGTTGAGACAAAGGCAAAACAAAACAAAACAAACAAAAAAACTTCAGCATAGCAGTAGAAAATCAAATAAACTTAAAATCACAGTACTTTTCTGTATATATGCGTTGTTTCAATACTTCTCTTCATTTCAAGCACCGTGCGTAAGTATGTACTAAAAGTGCGACAACGAAATCTGTCAACGATGGGTGACTTCACACCTCCCAGTGCCTAGGTGTTGTTGGGCATCAAGGAGATTAAAAAAAGGATGCTCTGAAGTCTTACAACCTATTCAGAAACTTTTGTGAACAACCAAGATATTGTGAGGTATGTAGTTCAGGGGTTTCCAAGAAAAGAGATCAGTGAGGACTAGAAGAATCAGAGATATTTCCCAGGTGGGAAAATAAAACCGGGCTCTGAATGATGTAAGAAGTTTACACAGGTAGAGAAGAGGGAGACGGGCTTCTCAGACTGAGAGGAACAGCCTCTGCTAATGAGAGTGATGACGTGAGGGAGGAGATGGAGGCAGACAGAGCGGTCCCAGCACAGAACACTGGGAAATAATGCTACGTGGTAGAACAAAACTATGGACAGCCCAGAAAATCAGCCAAGACGTTTAACAAATAGGAACTCACTGCATAAAATGAATCTGGCAATAGAAGAAAGGTTTGAATGGAAACAAGAGGCTAATGGCAGGAAAAGCACGGTAGATGCTACCACAGGTAACTATGTACAAAAGTGACAGGGCCCAAAACAGGGCTGACAGCTCTGTGAATAAGGAAGGAATGTGTCAGAGACATCTTTTGGAAAAAGAAGTATCAGACCTCGGAGGCCAACATTCTACATGTGCTTAGAATGCAAGATCTGCGGAAAATATAACTTCTTGCATATCTCCCAAGCTATAGATTTTCAAAGCCTTCAACAGGTTGCAACCGCATCCAGGAAGACGCTGAGCCTTCCCAGGGCACCGCAGGGTTCACAAACCTAGCAACAGGCGAGCAGCACGCGTGCCGGGATCCCCATCCACCCAGGGCGATTCTGACCTTCACAGCACGTGACAAGCCCGTGGGCCTGGGCACCACCCGGTATATCCAATGCTTAGCCTTTGTGAAAGGTTCCAGGCATGAGTGGTGTGTAGATGGTTTAGATGTTTCAAAAGCATGATTCCTAGCTGAAACCTAAAGGAACAGTTATTACAAAAGCACACCAGGCCATAGTGGTGGGGTGGGAAAAGTGACATCATGGCGTAGGGTGGATCTGGGTTCTGTGGTGGGCTCTGTTATCGCTGGTTATGGGACTATGAGCAATTTATTCAACTCATCAATATAATGGTGCTAACGACGTTTTGCTTATAGGATGCTACAAGGACTAAAGAACACATGTATGTGCATAAAATATAACTATCTATAAACATGAGGTTAAACCAATGGAGTGAGGGGAGACGGAGCCTGGGAAGTGTTCTGACTACAGGCATCCTGTTAAATGCTGTGATTTTCAGTCCCACGAGGGCCCCCCACCCACCTGGCATTCAAAGTCCCCAGCCTGCTAGACCCCCTCAGCTGCAG